TTTTTTGTAGAACAGCATGTCCTAAATCTCCATTTTTGAGTCTTAATTCAAATTATCTTTTAATATATTCTACTACTAAAGACTACATTTTACAAATATTAAAATATATACAAGCCGTCTTGTTTAGTCTTATAAGTTAATTACCAATAATTTAAAGAATTACGTGTGCTTAAATTTCATATAAAATGACAAAATTTAAGAGATGCATATATTAATAAAGTAAACATAGTTGGCTCAAATAAAGACTTTCCATATGTGGAAGGTGACCTACTTGCTTGTAAAACAAAGAGACTCATTTTATTTTGCTTTTCAAATTGAATATTTTACTTTCAGGTGTTCTTTAATGATGTTCTTGATTTGCTTTTTGTATGTATCATTTTGCTTTACTTTGTGTAAAGATTGTGTTTCTATTAATTTAAAACATACTGTATTGGTTAATTATGTTGAAAATATATAAGAAAAGACAGACACTCAAAGATTACTTCTAACTCAGCTATCAAAGCAGCAACCGAAAGAATTCTACTATTAAGATGAGAGAGGGAGTATCTCCACTTTGAGGATTGTTTTGAATAATTGGTTAGAATGGGTTGCTTACCTAATCTAGTGAAGTGTGTCATTCTTCATGAAGAATATAAAATATATAAGGCTGAGTGTGGTGGCACATGCCCTAATAACCCCAGCACTCGGGAGGGTGAGGCAGGAGGATCACTTGAGTTTGAGACTAGCCTGGACTACATTGCAAGTTCAAGGCCAACCTGAACTGTATAGGAAGACTTTGTTTTAATCACCCTGCCACACATGACCTTTAGCCCTTTTAGAAGATATTTCTCCCCTTCTTTTTGAATTTTGTAACCTACTTAGGTAAAATTAGCTTTTACTTCTGACCTATTAGTTTTTTTGTTTTGTTTTGTTTTGTTGGTACTGGGGATTGAACTTGGAACCTTGTGCTTATTAGCAAGGCAGGGAGCGGAACCACTAACCTAAACCCCCAGCCCCTGACCTATTATTAATAATCACAAGTTTTTAAAAGAATGAGATTTCATACCATGAAGAAATAACATTTGATGAATTATTTGACAGTTTTTATGTTTTTTTAAAAAACTTAAGCTTATGTGTAAATATGAAATCCTCAGCATAATGCTAATTAAATTTAACAAATGATTGATCTGTAATTCAGTTAATATTAGGCCTTTAATGTAATTGACAACAGCACAGATGCAGGAGATTTCTATTTTTCCTTTCCTCCACCAAATAAGTAAAGTTTCTTGTTGTCTTTCAGTCTTCTTCTCAGAGAGTCTTCTTTCTGGATGCTTTGTATTATTGTAGGAGATTTCTGTGTTTAGTAGTACTGTCTATGGGGACATTTTCTATAACTCTTTCTATAATTTGAAGGTGATATACTTTTGATGTGATAGCATAGGAGAGAAAAACCACGTAGTCCTTCCTCTTTTATTCACTTGAGTACAAATTCTTCTTGACCAAGGGCTGGGGATTTGGCTCAGTAGTGCCGAGTTCAATCTCTGGTATTAAAAAAAAAAAAAAAAAAAAAAAATTTTTTT